TGATGTGAAAGGTAAAGGCACTTCTTTGTGCCTGTTGGCTGCCAAGCATGTCACACGAACATTTAAGGATGTCGTGGATCTTTGGAAGAAACGTACACTTCCAGATACTGCCAGAGGGGGTACTACTAATGCCAGTCGTCCATCTTGGTGCCGAAAGTCCCAGGCAGCAGCTCGGTTGAACGGGTATCACATGTTCAGCCAGGACAGAGCAGCAGACAGGGATCGGTCTTGTCAAGGAGCAGAGGAGTCCGCAGCATTCTTGGATGATGCTTTGCAGGCATGGCGTGCTTTGCCGGAGGAGGAGAAGCAAACGTGGAGCCAACGGGCTCGAGAGAACAATGCCCGCAAGTCTGCTTTGCAGATGGCTGCAGCTGCAGAAATGCCTCCAGATGTTCCCGGCGGGCCTTGGAATCTGAGCGTTCCCTCAGAACAGTGGCCTTTGTCTGAGAAGTTCCTGGGTGAATTTCTGGAAAGTTGCGGTGGCTTCTCTACTGCTCGGAATCACTGGGTTCAGGCGGGGTGCACTTGTCGGTGCTTGGTGTTGGTGTCGCAGGGTGGATTGTCCAGCAGTGCTGCTTCGAATGGCTATATGATCTTTATGAGATACTATGAGCCCATATTAGCTATTGAGAATTGCAGAATTGGAAATCTCAATGTGTACTGTTGAGTCCTTGTGAGCCTTCACCCATGGCAAATTTTTATTGTAACCTTGCGTTGTGCTTGCGCAGGCCAATGCGGAGCCAGTGAGCGTGTATGAGGACATCGACGTGCGAGACAACAGGAGCCTGTTCCAGGTGTGCCCTCCTGGCGGTTGTACGTCTGCGCTTTCTCCAGCAGAGTTGGCGTGTTTCCATCGGTTGCACACAGGTTTGTCAGTCCTCATCAAGAGATTCGATCCAGCAAAGAAGCATATCAGCGAAATGCCGCTCACTCTCCTCTTTGAGTCACAGCAGATGGGGGTTGGGGTGGGGGCGATGCTTTGTTTTCGCACATACTTGCACAACATCGATGCAATTCTCCTAAGACTTGATCCAAGCCTCGTCTTCGACGAGAAGCCGCCTTTCGACTTGCGAATTGAGAGACCTGCCGGAGGGCGCAAGGCCTTGTCGTATTGGAACGACATGTCTCTTTGTGTGGAAATGGCCAGCGTTGCTCAGGATTGGGTTATTAGTCGATTGGCCTTGGGGGACTTGCAGGGAGGCTTGCTTTCTTTCAGGGTGGAAGGCAAGTTTCCGCACGACCTTGAGGAACTCTGGACAGCTGCGCAGCAACTGAAGGAACAGGAACGTGCTCTCCGAGCCCTTCGACTATTGCAGAGGGCCGAACACCAAAGGGCTAGGCGTGGCGGGGGAAGGGGTCGGGGACGTGGTGCCAGGGCTGGTCGTGCTCGTGGTCGTGGACGTGCAAGGCAGCGTGCAGTTCCGGATGATGATTCCAACGCTGCCTCCGGATCGGGCTGGGATGGTGATAGTGAAGGAGACAATCCTGATGACGATGACGATGGTGATGATGCATGGATGTTGAATCCACCAGGCTGTGCCGAAGCAGCACCTTCCACTGTGCAGGCAGATGCCTCAGAGGAGCCAGACCAAGAAGCTGCGGCCTCGGGCCTGGCAGAGGAGGTGCCACCTCCTGCTCCTCCTCCTCCTCCTCCTCCTCCTCCTCCTGCGCAGAGAGGCCAACAACGGCGACCTCGCCACAACCAACGTCGGGGCGTCCCTTGGGGCCCCTTCGAGTTGGCGCCCATAGTGCCTCACCATGGTCGAACGACTGGTTGGGGAGCAATTTGTGGCCTTCATCGAGACAGGGGGGAAGGAGCAAGCACGACCCAATGCAAGAAGGCCGTCTCTTGTGGTGCCATGGACCAAGCCACCTGCCTCTTGAGGCTTAAGCGCTGGCTGTGCGCAGGCTTGGATGATGATCTGTGGCCGCCACAGCGGAAGCGGAGCCATCATGTCTCAATGGGGGGTCCAGGTCTGCTTGAGTTTGCGGACGGATTGTCAGAGGAATACATGGATGAGATCATCCAGAACTATGTACGAAACCGCTAGAAGGAGTTTGTTTTAGGGGGGGGGGGGGTTAGGGTTTAGGCTTTAGGGTTTAGTTTAGGGCCTTAGGGTTTAGGGTTCAGGGTTTAGGGTTTAGGGTTTTGTCTTTGTCCTTTCAGGCAGGACTTCGGCCTTGGGCCTGGCTGCAGAGCAGATTCATCCAACGTGCAGCAGGTGAGGGAGGGACTTGGCGTGTGCTTGGGACACGTTCTTAGTGCAAGACGGATTTGCGCGTGTTGAATAGGGAACAGAGTGGATAGACGCGATGTGTTTGTGTTGGCTGTGTTGATCGGTCTTTATTTATTTTTTCGAATTCAGGAAAATAGTAATACAAAATAAAAAAAATATTATAAAGAACATATTTTGTTTAACTTTTTTGGGTTTTTTTGGTTTCTGTTTTGTTTTTTTTTTTATTTTTTTGGGATTTTCCAACGTGAACTCAAAATATGGTTTTAAGTTCACATTCCATGGTTTTGAGTTCACATTTGTAGGTTTTAAGTTCACATTCCAAATTTCGGAAAAAGTTTCAATTCTGTAAAAAAAAACTAAAAAAAACTAAAAAAAAGCTTAAAAAAACTCAAAAAACACAAAATTCAGACCTGACAAATCTAGAACTTCAAAATATCTACTTCTGTATACTACCAAGAATGGAAACAAGAAGCATCGCCAAATTTTGCCCTGACTCGGCCCCATTTGCAGGTGCTGGCATGAAGACTTGAGGGCTGGGTGCCCTCGCCGCGGCCTGCCTTTGGTGTCCGGCCTAGTGACAGGGACAGGCTAAAAAGCGAAAAGAACACACAGGACCAACTGTAGACTGTAGGAGTGATGAGAAGCGTTCTGGCTGTTGAGTGTATGGCAAGGGCTTGTGACATCGCACGGCGACGGCTCAGGCTCAGGCTCAGAAGATAGCTGAGGCTTCTTTTGCCCTAGGAATCCTAGGACGTAGCGCGGGATGCCTACCAGTAGTAGTAGCAGCAGCAGCTCAAGCAAGAGCCACCAGAAGCGGCAGGCTGCGGAGAAGCAGATGGAGCAGGAGATGGCAAGTCTCTTCGGTGGGTCCAAAGGAAGCAAGAGGTCTAGGTCTACCTGCGAGGAAGACACGGATATTCCCATCGCGTTGGGAGTTTCTAAGCCGTGCGTCTGTGGCTTCTGTGGCTGTAAAAGCACAGATCCCGACCCCTTGGCGATGGAGGGGGATGAAGAAGCCGCAGTGCCTTGGGGTAAATACCGGAAGGTAGAAACGGCCTCGGGCCTGGTACGCGTTCCTGTGGGCAACCTGGATTCCATTTGTAGGAATGTGTACCGCTTGCTCGGGTACCCTCACAAGTACGGTGCCCACGCCGAGTACCTCAAGAAGGTCAAAAGCAAGCAGGTGGATCACGCAGGCTTCTTATCGAGCAGAGACGAGTATATCAAGAAGCAGAAGGGGGGCAGAAACCGCAGCAGCAAGAAGGACAAGGACGACCTCAAGGCAGTGACGACCTTGAAGACCATGAGTGACATGGGAACCAGGTTCGAAGGCCCGAAGATGGTCTTCATAGATGTCAACGAGTGGGATGCTGCCACCGATGGTGCTTTGGACGAGAGCCAAGTTGTCGAGGAGGTCATCGGAGGGAAGACGGTCAGGGGGTGTTACAAGAGAGTTGGCAAAAAAGGGCACTACGACGTCCGCAGCTTCGACCAGAAAGTGCTGCGTACAGAGACTGAAGAGCATTCTCGCAAGAATGCCAAGCAACAATTTGCAGAAGAGAGCCTGAAGAACAAGACTGAAGCCATCCAGGCTGTGTTTCAAGGCAATCAGCGTGATCGTGAGGCAGTGGCCAGTGAAGGCAAGCACATTGATTGCGATGATCTCCTCGCCCTGCTGGCGAATCTTCCCGGTGCAGGGTCGGCCTCAGGCCAGGCTCCCGGGGACTCCGGGACTCAGGACGCAGATGAGGCTGCCGACGGGGACGAGACATTGAATCCGGACCATCTCAGCACAGACTCAGGAAGTGAAGATGATGATGCTGGGGCGGCCGCTGCTCGCCTGCAGTCTTTAGGCAGGAAGAAGGCAAAGGCAACAGCAAAGGCCAAGAGCAGCAACTCCAGAGCTTCAACGCTGGCGGGGGGTGCCTTGAATAAGGCTGCCCCTCCGGTCTCCGGGCTGCAGAGCGTCAAAGCGGCCAAAACAGCCTCAGTGAAGGCTTCAGAGACCGCTCCTGTGGCAGTGAAGAAAGAGCCCGGCCTTCTGGCGGCAGGCTCTGTGCTCTCGCTGGACGGTCGAGGCCTGAGATTGAAAGAAAGCTTGAAGAAAGAGCACTGCGATCTTCTTGCGAGGCTCCAACATGCTCTCAACGCCTTTGACGACGACTACAACTTCACCGAAAAGAAACAGCACGCAGGGAAGCAGAAGTCCCTGAACGGCATCCTGTCGGCGGTCTCGAACCAGGTGAAGCGCGTAGAGAATAGCGCCAACAAGTCTGCCTTCTCAGACGAGCTTGGAAACTTCGAGGCCTTGAAGGCATTGGTTGCAACAGCCATGGAGTTCAATTCGGCCTTGGGGGGCACGTCAAGCAACTTGAAAGCCCTGGAAGAGGGGTACGCCCAGTTGTCGCCTGAGGGTCTTCGTGTGGGGTGTTGCTTCTGGTTCAAGCTCCTTGAGACGAAGTTGGAGGAGATGATTCTTTACCGGAATCTTGCAGGGTATGTGGGTCTACTCACCGAAGAGAGCTACGAGGCTGGGATTGTGCGTTTGAAATAATACAAGCCTCACGTGTTATTTGCGCGTTTGTGTTGATGTAGAGGCTGCAGAGGTTTCACGTTTCGACGTTTAAGCTTAGAAGTGGGTTAGTCTCGGCCTCGCTGCCTATATACACCCTACAGGACCAAAAAAAAGAACCTAAGGAGTAGTAAGGAGTCAAGGGTACTTCCGGATCTGTAACATAAGCCGGCCTGATTAACTCATGACTCATGACACAGGTGGACAAGTTGAAGGGCATGGGCAAGTTGGCAGACGTGAAGTCTTTTATCCACGCAGATGTGGAAAGTAGGATGACGGCTTTCTTGAGCAAGGAAGACGTGCTGAAGCATGGATCGTGGGGTCGCGAGCAGGCTCGGCTGCTGGCCGCGGAAGTGTGCCAGGCTTATGAAGGTGAGAACGCCTTGCTTTCAGATGTATCAGGCACCGCCAGCTTGATACGAGACCTCTTGCAGAAGGACGACCTGCAAGCCATGAGTGCGGCCTTGGAGCGTTTCAAGAATGTGGATGAAGATGAGGTCCTCGATGATGGACTCTTCCAATTCCTTCAAAAGCACAAGACCGGCATGGCCATCATTGCAGACTGCACAAAATGCATCCAGGAAGGCGAGGTTCAATTGCAGGGGGAGTTGTTTTTGAAGAAGCTGCAAGAGGCCTTGAACAGCATCAAGTCAGTTGAGGATCAGATGACTGCCTCCGCCATCTCTGATGTGGTGAAGACCTTCTGGGATTTGAAGTCAAGCAAAACTGTCCCAAACATGGTCTCGAAACACAAGGTGGCATTAGATGTCTTGATGAAGGACTTCTGGCGTTTGGTCAGCTCTGGTGTGAACAACATGCTCAGCAGCACATTGGCATCCTGCCTGGAATTACTTCTGGACCAACTTGATAGGAAGCGGCAAGGGCATGGAACGTCGAATGAGTCAAATGCCAATGGCTTTAGTGACTCGCATGAGACGGAGTTTGCCGAAGTGTTGCGGGAGATGAAGTGTGAGGCCCTATTGAAGCACGAGTTTTGGAAGCAGGCAGGCAAGTGCCTTCCGCAGACCTTGCAACAAGACTTGACCAGATTCGAGAAGGTGAGCATCACGGTCTCGGACCTGGCTTCGTATGTGTTTTGTAAGGAGGATAAACTCCGTGCGAGAGAGGTGACCTCAGACAACCTCAAGGAGTGGGCCAGTTGCGATGTTGAAGTGTGCCGGTTCTTGAAAGAGCCCGCCTTGCTGGAAGCCTTCCAATCTGTCTTCATGAAAGTTGCAGCAGACGAGCTTCACTCTAGGGCAATGGCCGTTTTCGAGCGGGTTGGCTGTTTGGTGGATGCATGCCTTTCTCAGGTCTCTGGCTTGAACAGTATGGCCTTGTCCTTGGCTGATGTGAAGGAGAAAGACGTCTCAATGTTGGGGAAAGGTCTGTGGACGCCTGTGCTGACATGTTTCGTGCAGGCCTGGTTTGCAGCAAACTGTACAATGGCGAAACTATGTCGTCATTTCTTGTTTTTTGTTTATAATTCACAAGCCAACCACCCAGAGCTGTCTAATCGAGGAGAACTGTAGCAAGTCCATAATTTATGTCGTTAAGTCCTTAAGTTTCCGTGCAGACCTCGGGTCTGACTTTCTCGGCAATGTGCTTCGATCATTCTGGTCTTGGGTGTTATTTTGAATTGCGAATTATTCTGACATATTCTGACTGACTCGACTCATTTGAAACATTTGATTCGTTTGTTCTACTGTCATGCAGTCGTCGAAATAGTCTAAACCGTTTCATCTGAGCGAGGTCGCGAAATGCACAGTGCTAGCCTCCCAGAACTCGGGTTCCTTGGCTGACGTCATGGCTGCGGTGGAAGCTCAGAGGCAGTGTGCAGACAGTGCCAGAGGTGCCAGCGAGCGTTGTCGGAATGAGACAGACGTGGACTCAGATGGCAAGTTTGCTGCCACGAAGCTGGGGTGCGAAGATTTCCAGGCTTGGCTTGCCAACCTTGGTGATGAGCTTCTGAAGAAGCTGTTCCTTCTTGCCCTGGATGAAAGGACGCAATTGAAGGAGGCGTACGACAAAGGCCAATCCCTATTAGACAAAGTGCCACCATTCAGTCTGGACAATGAGGACAGGTACCGCACGGTCATGGCGAATATACACAAAAGTTTCGCAAGTGTGGGCGGCAAGCTACGGGAACACGCAAAAACGGCAGATCGAGTTAGAAAAGTCGTGCCTGAAGGAGGGGTAGACACGCTGAGTCCCGGGCAGACTGTGGCTTCTGAGCCCTCGCAGTCCACGGGGCTTCTCGAGTGGTTTTTTGCTGCTGAGCAAGCCCAGGCCTTGGGACACACCCTCGTGTGCCACCTCAACGTCTATGCCATGGTCACTTTGTTACGGTCCCCCGTCATGGGAGCCAAAAGCGACACCGGCAAGAAGCAGGCCAAACAGTTGCAGGACATAATCCGCACCCTTCTCGAGAAAGACCTGCTCGTGACACCTCCTCATTCGCAGTTGCCCCTGTCAAGCCTACTGAAGTTGTGCAAGGATTGCGAAGACGCGGCGTGGGCCTGAGCTTCCCAGATTCTGTGCGCTTGTGCTTGTGTGTGTGTGTGTGTCTGTCTCTGTGTGTGTGTGTGGAGCAATGAGTGATCAGTGATAAGTGATAAGTGCTACTTGTGATGTGTGATGTGTGATGTGTGATGTGTGATGTGTGTGTGTCATGGAGCCTTAGGGTTTAGGGGTTTAAGGGTTTGGGTGTTGCTTTAGGATTTTAAGGTTTAGGGTTTAGGGTTGAGGGTTTAGGGTTTCGCAGGGACTTGAGGATTCAATAAGTTGGGAAATGCCCCTGCGTTGCCCGAATGTATATGTCTAGTTAAAGACACCGACTAGCAAGGCCCGGTAAAGGTACGGGAAGACGTTGACCGCAAGCCTATGTATGCTTGTTATCAGTCTCTGCTTCGATTAGATGGGTCGCTCTTCTGAAGTTCTTGTTCTTGTTCTTTTTGCATGGTACCAGGTCAAGCGAACCGTCGGTAAATGTACTGTGGTTGTGGACGAGAAATGGCCGAAGTGCGAAGAGTCCGTGAAGAAGCTGAAGGAGTTAAGTGAGCTACCCCAAGTAATCCCGACCCCAGCTCAAAAGAAGCCCGATGAGTGGACCGTGGAAGGCAACGGAAGGCGGCTGAGGAGGAAGGTGTCTATCCCAGACTTAGCAAGCGCGGCCACTGCGGCCACGCCCGCAACAAGTGGAGCTGCTGAGGCAAAACCTTCTCCGCCCTCAGGGCTGGGCGTTGTGTCCTGCGCAAGCCACGGGCCCGAATGCCCAGATCCGTCGACACCGTCCCAGGCAACCCAAGACAACAAGCAGCCGCTGTCGCCGAATACGGAGAAAGTCATGCTCCGAGCCCTGGAGCAGAATCTCTTCGAGGAGGAGGAGGAGGACATATCCAAGCAACAACTTGTGGTTCCGGAGCCGGCTTCATTCGCTGACAGTGACAGTAGTTCCACGGTGCGCAAGGTCCTGGATACCGATACGATTGGCAAGCCAGAAGCACCCGAGAAAAATGCAAACATGACAAAAGACCAAGATGGCACAAAAGAGAAAGACTCTTCGAAGAAGCACAAGAAAGACAAGAAGAAAGACAAGAAGGAGAAAGCTGAGAAGAAGGACAAAGCCGAGAAGAAGGACAAGGAAGGGAAGAAGGACAAAGATGGGAAGAAGCAGAAGGAAGTGAAAAAGGAGAAGAAGGAGAAGAAGGAGAAGAAGGAGAAGAAGGATGAGGAAGGCAAGAAGAAGAAGAAGAAGGAGAACGAAAAGAAAGACGACAGCAAGCAAACGGACCAAGACAAGGAGGCAGCTGCAAAGAAGCGGAAGCTTGCCGAGCCTGCCAAGACGGCAGCCCCAGAGCCTGCTGCGCCGAGTGGAGGGCGTGGCCGGGGTCGCGGCCGTGGCCGCGGCAGAGGCGGTGCTGTCGGGCAGGGCAACGATGGCAGAACGGAAGGCAGGACAAGGGCGGCTTTGGCTAAGTTAGACACGACAAGCAGAATGCCTCTGGCAAAGATGTTCGCGTCCATGAAGGTCGAAAAGAAGTAGCAACCTCGGCCTTGGGCCTGGCATGCGAAAAGGTGAGCGCCGAAAGGCGAAAGCTTGCAGACAAGGACGACTTTCGAGAGATCATTCGTGTAGGCCTGCTTCTCACACAGCAGTTCAGCAGTAAGACCCCATGAATGTGACTGTACAGCATTGTGCCCTGTTGCCTGCGCCGGCTTGTCAGAAAAGACTGCGAGCACATGTTTCGTTGATGCTGCGTGCGAGTCTTGTTGGTATGATATGTGTAATGTTCAGTGATGATGTTACATTTTCATGTTCATATTAATATTCATGTTCATGTGATTCATGTTCGTGTTATGCTCATGTTTATGTTCATGTTCATGTTCTCCTGCAAAGAGCTGGTTGACGGTGCCCGGCATTTCCCTGAAGGATCGCAGCGTCAGCCGGCGAAGCAACTAGGAACTACCCAAGTCCAGTGGGGGATGTAGATAAATCTGTAATTCCTTTTCAGTTTGGTTTGTGGAGTTTTTTTGGTTCAGCTTAGGCTTAGGGTCAGTGCTGGAACGGTTTCGGTTAAAGTCGTGGGTTTTTGTGAGACCTCTCCGCTCGGCTGCACGGAGCGTTGTTTCAAGTTTGCCATGCAGCGCGAAGGCGAAGGTGCGACAAAGCGGGCCTTAAGGCGCCACGCCACGGTGGATGGCACGAAGCTGCAAGAGCAGATGGACCTAGCTCGCACGCGGCAGATTGCAGCAGAGACCTTGCACGATGGCACTTGGTTGTTGCAAGCAGCTCGCGAAAACAGCAACATCGTCTCGGACTTGACAAACCGGCCACTTTTTCCATCACGGTCTCTGACCTGGGGATCGTGCTGCAGTGGCTCCGAAGGCGTTCGGTTTGTCTTTGAGGCCCTCCAGCTGCTTGCAGCAGAACATGGGCACGGCATCACTTTCCAACACATGTTCAGTTGCGAATCTGCACCTGAGAAGCGGCAATGGATTCAGCTTGTGTCTGAATTTGCAGGCCCGGTCATGCAGAAAATTAAATCATGTTTGGATGGAGGTGTCGAGGTCGAGGACAACGAGGACAATCTCATTGCCCGTGAGCGCTCGCCCTGCCTCTTCACGGACATATGTACCTTGGGCGGTAGCCATAGTGAGTGCGTGGCTCATGGGCCCAACCATCAAGGCACTTTCAACTCTAGTGGGGTCTCTGAGCAAGGAAGGGGTCGTTGCCCTGTCCCACAGGTGGATCTTCTAGTCGTTGGTACAAGCTGCAAGGATATGTCGCGAGCCAACAACAGCAGCAGCAAAGGTCGAAGTCCTCCTGTCTTGCTACAGGAGAAGTCAAAAGGCGGCAGCGCGCAGACTTTCCAAGGTATGCTGGCTTTCATTGATGCTCACTCCCCTGGCATCGTACTGTTTGAGAATGTTGATGCCATGGAGGACAAGACAGGGGGCAACAGCAATAATCTGGATATTGCCCTAGCTGAGATGAGCAATAGAGGGTATGAGAGTCAGGTAATCATGACAGACGCCTCTACGATGGGCCTTCCTGCACGCAGAAGACGTGTCTACATTGTGTTTTTGAGAGTTGCAGGCAATGCTTTGGTGGACTTTGCCCAGCGTTCGATGACAGCCATGTTTGCCACGTTAAGAGCCGCCATGTGTGTTTGCGTACGCTCTGCTTGTTGCGGCACGGAGATTTTCTTGCCAGATGACGATGCAGCAGTGCTCTCGGAGCTTGAGGTCCGTCAGCAGAAGCGGGCAAGGCAACAAGAACTGGCTCAGAAGAGTCCACCTGCGGCTCAAACGTGGATGGACTCTCACTTCAATTTTGCACGAAGCATCAAGTATCGTTGGGGCGAGCCCGTGCCCCAAGATCTCAAAGAGAACCCATGGTTCCGGACCTTGACAGAGAGAGAGCAAGATGTGTTGAGATTGTGTCGCGTGCAAGCCCATCAGCTGCAGAGAGATTCAACACCAATACTTTTCACGGACGTGTCGCAATCCATTGTGAGGGCACTTACCCCATCATTTGATGGCAATGACGGCCATCATGTTTTGCCCACCGTGTTGCCCCGCATGCTCTTGTGGCACGACCAAATTGGACGTCTCCAACTTGGTCGTGAGGCTTTGATGTGTCAAGGCTTTCCAGCTGTGCCGTTCTTGAATCACTGCGAATCCGTGAAGCGGCCTCAGGCCTGGTCCCCAAGCGAGAACCTCCTGCAAGATTTAGCGGGAAATGCGATGGCGCTCCCAGTCCTACTGGGGATACTCCAGAGCATGTTTGTGTCCTTTTCTTGGCAAGGCTCGGCTGACATAGACTTGGCCGACGAAGAAACAAAACCACCTCGAAGGGCCGTCAGTGAAGAGGCGTGCCTTTAGTGATGTTTCTTTTCTTGCTTTCTTGCTCCATGTACTCTCATGTGAAATATTTTCGTAGTTGTCATCCAAGCTTGTCGTTGTGAAGGACATCCACACGGCGCTCGCTGCTATCAACATGGTCTCTGACCCTGGTCCTGCGCAGAGGGTAGAGCCAGAGCAATCCAAGTCCGTTTCAGTAAGATCGGCTCTGCAAAGCCGCATTCTCAAGCGAGCCAGGAAGAACCTTGAGGGTTCCGACCTTTAGCCAGTAGCTTCAGCCGCTATTACCACTATTAGCCCACCCACCGCCAGGAAGGCCCGCGGGAGAAAAAACAGACAGCGCGTTCAACAAGCAATCGTTCTTGCTTCTTGGTTTTGCCAATGTGGTCCTTGTGACTTAGACTTGCCGGCCGTGAGGTAGCCATATATAAGATGTCTGGATCATTAGCCAAAAGGACGAACATCAGAATAGAATGTTTTTGAAACCATGTTCGGGATTTTTGTGTTTTTGGGAGGTTTTTGGCAGAAATTCTTTCAATTTTACAACATTTTCGAGAAAGATTTTCGAAAAATGTTTTCCTCTTTTTTTTGTGTTTTTTCATATGCAACATGACCTATATAGCCCTAAACCCACAGGCCTCCTGAAATCACCCAAGCTTTTGGTGTGGCGTGTTCACCTTTTCAGCAGCACTGTCCTGTCAAGTCCGTATACAAGGACAACAGGGCCCTACTAGGACCAAGAAGTAGGCCCTTATTCCTTTCATCTTTAGGGTTCGGGTTCCCTTAGAAGCTCCTTGAAAACAACAACGGTACCCCTTTCTTACTCCAACCCCAACTATCTCCCTACTTGCAGGTGCTGGAACCCTGAGCCCTGGGCCATAACTTCTGCGTGGAACTGTTTCGTTAACTTCCCGGGTTTAGGGTTTAGGGTTTAGGGTTTAGGGTTTAGGGTTTAGGGTTTAGGGCTTCCCCGCATGAAGCCTTCGAAACTCCAGCCTACCTAGAAGGCCGATTTGATTTGAGGCTCAGTGTTTGTGTGGCCCTAAACCCTAAACCCTAAACCCTAAACCCTAAACCCTAAACCCTACACCATGGCCTCAAGAGTGCACCTGCAAACCGCAGGTTCGGATCACAGTCCCACTAGCCTGCTGTTCCGCGCGCTGGAAGCCACTCCGACCTGCTTATCTGCCCTCTCTGCACCTGAGGCTTTAGGATTAGGGTTAGGGTTTAGGGTTTAGGGTTTAGGGTTTAGGTTTAGGGTTTAGGGTTTTTTAGCATTTAGGGTTTAGGGTTCGAGGGGTATTTGTCTCCAGATTATTCCGAAGTGGGCTGATCGGTTTGAGTCGACACAGTCATCGTGATCAGATGATGCCCATAACTCCCCACCCCGTGGGCAGAGGTGCAAGGTCTCGTGAACCGTAACCCTTGAACCCTTGCCACCCCAAACATCCAGATTCCTAAACTCTAGAGCGTAGTTGAATTCACCCAAGATCTCAAAATCCCGAGCCCGAATCTCAAAAGCCCTTTACCTACGCTGAGGCCCTTAGCAAGGAGTAGATAGGGGGCGCCGCAGGCAAGGCCTCAACTTTGGGCAGCGAACCCTAAGCACGAAACCACCACACAAAACGAGGTTACACAGCACAAGGCCCCCCGCCCTTTCTCACTCTCTAAGGGTGGTAAAACTTCGTAGCTGCATGTGTACACTTTACACGTTTTGGGATATTATAATCCCCGATAACACTGGAATTGTACACTTTTGGGCGGCTTCTGAACTCAGCAACTAAGTATACGGTCCCTTAATATGGTCCCTTACCTTCTTGTTCTGATGTGCGCTTGTGTTGAGGGTTCAGAAGTGGGTCCACCAAGTAAGGGCCCATACTAAGGGACCGTGTAAGAACCCTAAGAATCCCACCCAGGGCCTGAAACCCCTAGCTGTGAAAAGGTCCGTATGCGGTTTAGAGCGGGTTTAGGGTTTAGGGTTTAGGGTTTAGGGTTTAGGGTTTAGGGTTTAGGGATACGCAGCCATAAGTGATTAAAACCCTAATGAAGCAACATGCAACCCCAACAATACCTCTTGGCTTTGTTGTTGGTACTCGGATTCATGAATTTAGAGAGTTCTTAAGGAAGAACCCCATAATGAACCACTGGAGCTCTGCAAGCCTGCACATCTTTTGCGTTCACTCGTCATCCATGCCGTTGCCTTCATCGTAACTCAAGCTGCCCAGCTTCAGAATCCCTAAACGCTAAGCCCTAAACCCTAAACCCTAAACCCTAAACCCTAAACCCTAAACCCTAAACCTGTCCATGACGCTTCAACCCACACCCACTGGACCGATGAAACCCTGAAACTGAAGACCCAAAACTGGCCCAAGACCCTAAACCCTAAACCCTAAACCCTAAACCCTAAACCCTAAACCCTCTCACTGCCCAAAGCCCCAAACCCTCAACTCGAAGCGCTCCACACCACAATCCCTCAGACCCCTGAGGCCCAAGCGCTAACCCCTAAACCCTCAACCATCAACTCTCAACCCTCAACCCTAAACCCCAAACCCCAAACCCTAAACCCGAAACCGAAAACCCTAAGCCCTAAACCTCAACCCTAAACCCGAAACCCTCCACCTTACCACGCAATCTTCAACCCCCCGCATCCTTGACATTCGCACGCTCTGCCCCCTCATG